CAGGACACAGGGCCAGACAGCACAGGAGACCAGCCCAAAACCTTGGGTTTAATTACAGTAGAGCCGGGAGGCGTGGGAAAGCAGGCGAGAACGGAGCCCAGGCTGCAGGCGAGAGTGAAGCCCAGGCTTCTTCCTTCTTTTTTTTTTTCTTCTTTAGCTGAGTTTCATCACCCCACCTCTCTTCTTTTTGTTGAGGAAAATGTGAACCTCGCTGGGACATCCCGCCCGGCCACGCTGGCATCTGCGGGCGGCAGCGTAGGGGTGCTGGGGTTAGGAAGCTGCCAGGAGGCACCGAGCGGCTTTCCCGGCTCCGGAGTCTCTCAGCCACGGTCTCCTCTTCTCTCTCCTTTCCCTGTCTCCCAGTGCCCATCCCCTCGAAGGCCAACGGCACCGCCATTTCCACCCTGTCAATGAACAAAGACGGCCTGATCGGAGGGGTGACGAATCCCAACGAGGTCTTCTGCTCTGTGCCTGGCCGCCTCTCTCTGCTCAGCTCCACCTCCAAGTACAAGGTGACCGTCGGGGAGGTGCAGAGGAGGCTCTCGCCCCCTGAGTGTCTCAACGCCTCTCTCCTCGGCGGGGTCCTCCGCAGGTAAGCGGCTCCCCGGAGCCCGGGGCAGCCCGAGGCCGCAGGGCTGCGCCGCGCTGAAACGCAGGGGTAACGTCGAAGCAAGCGAACGCGTTCAGCACCAGCTCCTACCTCTTGGAGGTATATGGGGAATAGCTTTTTTGTTGCTTTTTCTTCTTTCCTTTCAAACCTGAATGCTTAACCTGGAATTAGAGACATTTTAACATTCACAGAATCACAGAATCACAGAATGGCAAGGGTTGGAAGGGACCTCGGGAGATCATCTAGTCCTACCCCCCTGCTAAAGCAGGTTCTCCTAGAGCATTCTACACAGGACTTCATCCAGGCGGGCCTTGAATATCTCCAGAGAAGGAGACTCCACAACCTCCCTGGGCAGCCTGTTCCAGTGCTCCGTCACCCTTAGAGTAAAGAAGTTCTTCCTCATATTCAACTGAAACCTCTTATGTTTCAGTTTGCACCCATTGCCCCTAGTCCTGTCGCTGGACACCACTGCAAACAGACTGCTTCCATCCTCGTGACTTCCGCCCTTAAGATATTTGTATGTGTTGATAAGGTCCCCTCTCAGTCTTCTCTTCTTCAGGCTGAACAAGCCCAACTCTCTCAGCCTTTCCTCGTAGGGGAGGTGCTCCAGACCCTTTATCATCCTAGTTGCCCTCCTCTGGACTCATTCATTACGTTATAATTTTTTCCCCTCCTTTTCTTCTCTTTCCAGAGCAAAATCCAAAAATGGGGGTCGGTGTTTAAGGGAAAGGTTAGAGAAAATCGGACTAAATCTACCTGCAGGAAGGCGCAAAGCTGCCAACGTCACCCTGCTGACGTCCCTGGTGGAAGGTAAGAGTCGCTCTCCACTCCCACGGCGGCCGGGCGTGCCGAAACCCCAACACCCTTCATTTGCAGCTTTCCGCAAACGAGAACACTTAGAACAAAGTCTGCAGCGGTCACCAGCGACCGAGGCTGGCAATACCCCCACGTGGGTCTCCCTGCTGATTCAAGCACGGCTGTCTTCCGAAACTCAGACGTTTCTGTCGGAGCAGTCGTAGCCCTTTAGGAACAGGCACCCGCAGCCCAAGCGGGGCCGCGAGCTTCCTCTCGGCGATATCCGAGCGTGCCGTCCACTCCTGTGAACCGGCGCTGGTAATTTTGGTCGGGTTCACAGAAACCAAACACCAAAAAAGCTCGAATAAAGCTGCCCGGAGCTCAGCAGCCATTCCGCAGCAGTGGGCGCGGGCTGGGGGGCGGGGGGGCCGTGGGTGGCGGCAGCCCCCGGCGCGGGGCATGAAGGGCTGAGCCGTGGGCAAGCGGCCTCGGCAGGCAGCGTGCGACCTGCCCTGACGCGCGAGGTGCCCCTGCGGAAAGCAGCGGGGTCATTTGCTCCCCTCCTACTTTTTGCGCTATGGCAATGATGATGTTGCTACTGCATCTTTGGAGCAAAGGACCCGGGACGCAAACAAATGCAATGACAGCTCCGACTCCCTTCGAGCTTTGGAATCCATTGTGTTTGCGCCCAGCGTGTTGGAGGCAGCTGCCTGTGGTTTCTGAATAGAAAATCATCGCCATTGTTGCCAGCAAATTAAATGACCCGCTTCATTAGGCGGAGGTTGTCACTGAGGGCAGTTGGTTCGTGCTGAATGAAAGGCTGATTTCCATTAAAAGAAAAGAAAGAAAAGAATGAAAGAAAGAAAGAAAGGAAGGAAGAAATGAACATTTTGATTTCAGGTGGCTGCTGATGTTTTGGTTACTGCGCATAGTAAATAAAAGAGTGGCGCCATGTGTGCTTGATGGATATAATTTCCTCCTGCACATAAATGTTATGGCACCGGGGGATGCTTCACCCAGAGGAAGGTGCTATGGCATTGCCATTACTCGGCATGCAGAAACTGGCTCCTGCCCCTATGCCCCAGGCACCCTCTTTCTTGGACAGTTGCTGTCTTGGCTTAATTTGTTTTCCCCCCTCTGCCTTCCCAATGCCTGTTCATTTAGAAAAATACACCGGGAGTTATTTTGAGCGCTGATGATATATTTTTTCTAAGGTTGACCCACAGCCAGTCAGATATAGATGGGGGAGAACGGGTGCCAGGGAACCCGGGGAGCACTAGGAGGGCTGCAGATAGAAAGAAGTGTGGCTTCCTTCGGGAGCCCTGGCCACGTACACCGAGCCCTTGCCCTCCCGTGGGCACCTCCTGCAGGGGCGTAGCTCCAGCACGGGCCAGGGGAGCAGCAGGGCTGCATCTCAACTTCAGAACCATCCTTAAGGAAGGAAAGAAAGGCTCTCGGGAAGAGGCGTGCATTCCCCCAGGCTCCCGGCCCCTGCCCCACGAGCCCTCTCCTCCAGCCTCTCCTCTCCCCTGGGCTCTGCCTTGGTGTGGCTTTCACACCGCTTCAAAAGCTGCACGGCCTCGTCCCCTCCGCTGAACCCTCTCTAAGCCAGCATCCAAATTGCCTTCAAACCACCCAGCTCAGGAGCCGCTCACACGCGCTCCTGGAGGCAATAAATCCTGGCTCCAGCCTTGGGTCTCACCACGAGGTCACACAGCCCCTTTTTATTGTCACAATAACTGGTTTTCGGCAGCTATTGCCGTCTGACTGTTTCTGAACACGCAAACAACCACGGTCCCGATTCTCTAGGTTTTACCTTGTTTGCTCCTTCTTTGGAGGAGGAGAGAAAGTGGAAAGCGTTACCGGTATTCGGGAAGCACAGACGCTTTCCCTGTACCATGGCTCCACAGACGGAGCTCCGGGAGCTGGGGAGACTGTGATGGGATGTAGGTTAATGCTATTAGGATGGATGGCCTAATATGTATGAGCAGCAGGGGGGCAAGTCGAATTAGCTCTGCCTGCCCGACCAGGATTTCGGGTGTCGGGCATGATCAATTGCCATCAGCTCTGATTATTTCCACGGGGATGCCTGGAGATAGATCAATTCCATCAATGGGTGGGCATTTCCACGGGGTGATGGATACGCTGCCCGCGCATCCCGCCCGAGGGCCCCTGCTCGCTGCGGGAGGATGGGAACCCCTTCCTTCCGCCCGCTTCTCACATCCCCCTTCTCTCCAGCGGTCGCGGGGCTAAGGTCACCTTTTCACCCTCCAGCCCCTCTTTAAATCTCGATTTGGAGAGGCCAAGCAGGACATTTTGGAAGAAGCAGGGAGAGAAAGACGCAGCGAGGGAAGCGCCCAAGTGAGAAACTCCTCTGTCACCCAGAGAGCTCTTGGGTGGCAACGGAGAAACGAAAGCACTCTGGTCCTGGCAGATGTAAGCCACGTCGGTGAGGTGGCTGGCGTGGCTACAGAAAGTGCTCCCCTTTCACAGCCTCTTAATCTGTCCCGCTCCTAGGCGAGGCCGTTCACCTGGCTCGGGATTTTGGGTACGTGTGCGAAACGGAGTTCCCAGCCAAGGCAGCGGCAGAATACCTGTGCCGACAGCACTCCGACCCCACGGAGCTCCACACCAGGAAAAACATGCTGCTGGCTACCAAGTGAGTACAGATGGCTACGAGCCACCGCCGCGCTAGGTACCCGCAGCCTGGAAGGGCAGAGTTAGCCCTGAAAGCTGACTCTTCTGCGGGGAAGGGATGGCCTCCTACGCCGCAGGCGGGTCTCAAAGGTGTGCGGCAAGATGAGTAATTTGCATGGATTTAAGGGCTTGCTCCTACCCGGGAGAGGTTAGCCTAAGCCGGGGAGCGTTTCGGCACTGCCACACGCGCCTCGTCGAGGCAGCAGCGGCTGCACCAGCTCCAACCCCGCATGCAGGGGCTTTTCCCAAAAACTCCCGTAGGAGAGGGAGCTGCTCGGGCAGGGAGCAGGGGAAGAGCCCTCAGACACACATACGTCCCCGCAGCTTCCCATTTACAGTAACGCAAACTTCTCTCTTCCAGGCAAATTTGTAAAGAGTTCGCAGACTTGATAGCCCAGGATCGCTCGCCGCTGGGGAACAGCCGCCCCTCGCTCATCTTAGAGCCCGGTGTCCAGAGCTGTTTGACTCATTTCAGCTTGATAACCCACGGCTTTGGGGGCCCAGCCATCTGCGCGGCGCTCACCGCCTTCCAGAACTACCTGGTGGAGTCCCTCAAGGGGCTGGATAAAATGTTCATGAACAGCACAGGGAACGGGCACACGGCCGGAGACTCCAAAGCGTCAGAAAAAGAAGTGAAGCATCGGAAATAACGCGCTGCCCCCCTCCCTCTCCCTGCTGGGAGCGGCCCCTGGTCGCGATAGGAAGGTTTAGCAGCGCCGGGTGGGGGGAAGGATGACCCCGCGCACCATTTGCTGAACTGCTACGTTTGAACGTGGGATGAAACACGTAAAGCAAACAAAGAAAAGACAAAAAAAAAGATGATTTAAAGAATTTAAGAAGAAAACAACTCTAATGGACCTAGTGAGATTGAGAAAATAAGACAGGTTGATGGCTTTTGGGGTTTGCCTTTTTTTTTTTTTTTTTTTTTTTTAATTGTGGATGCAGGAAGCCAAGTCATGTGCAATTTTATTTTGTTTTTTGTTTTTTTTTTTTTTAAAAAAAACCATAGTGAAATCCTGACACGCTCCAGGAATTTGTTCCAACTGAAAAACTGAGAAGCAAGAGCAAAAGCCTCACCGGTGCGAGAAGCGGAGGCAGGAGCTGCGGAGGGCAGGGAGGTGGATCGCTGGCTGCACCTGGATTTATCAGCTGGTTTTGAGAGGCAAACACAGAGGAAACCTTCCCCTTCCCAGCCTCCGGCCCAGTCCTAAAGCCAGGCCAAAGCAGAAATCAGCAGCAGAACTGCTTTGGATTTAAAGCAGTTTCAGACTTCGTTTACAGTTTTCAAACTGAGACTCCAAGCGGATCTTCCCTGGGGCTGAGGACCCCCGAGCCGTACCACGAGGGGAGGAATGGATCCAGAAGAGCCACGGATCCAGGAGAGCCTTCCCACCTGCGACGGCCACAGCTGGGGATGTGGCAGGTTAAGTTAAGCCCAGGACTAATTAAAACTCCACAACCTACAGATAACAGCACACAAGTTTCTAAAATTAATAATAACGAATAAAGCACAAGGAGCAGAACTTGAACCAGGCCAAACTGAACTGTTCTAAATCTGTATATATTTATTTATGTGTAATTAAAATCTGAAAGTTTTAAAATGTCCAGTGCAAGTTATTTATATCAAATTGAGTTCTTGTTTCGTTTTGCCTTATTTTTTTTTTTGTTTGTTTTTGGGGGTTTTTTTGAAAGATGAAAGTCTTTGGAATTCCTGCCATTAGAATGGGAATGAAGTTTGGGATACACACAACTGTAGCATGGACAAGATAGGCTGTGATGATAATGACTATAGGAGTTCTGCAGGATTTTGTACTTGCTGTTGTTTCTCTTAATGCTGCAATAGATGTACGACACCCACACCACAATGTCATTCTCATTATCTTAATAAACCTCTTTTTATTTGAAGAAAGCACCTCCATCGTCTTTGTGAACACGGATCCTTCCGCCTCTGTGGTTGGATCTTGAAATATGACATAGTTTTAAGGGACAATATCCTGCAGTGTCACGGCCGACGTCTGACTGATCTGTGCAGTCACAAACAGGGAGCGCAGAGAATGACAGGAGCTGGCGTTGATGCCCTGATCTCAGGAGCCATCGCAGCCGCGCCGGCCGCTGGTGCTGGAGATGAACAGGGCAACGATGCAGCTGCAGATGTTTCAGAACTACTCAGGACAGGGAAATCTAAACCTGCCTGTGAAGAGCTGCAGAAGGACCTCATGGTATCAAGACAAGCAGCGATAAATTAGCAGATAAAATAACCCGACTGATGTATATGCAATGGAGCTCTCTAAATTAGCTGCTATGTTTGTATCCTTGTTAAGGACAGGACTCTGGAACCAGCCAGCTCGTCCCCACAGGAGGCTGGAAATACAAACGAAATAATGGGAATGGTTAAAAAAAGGATTAACAAACCAGAAAACAGATTATCCTGCCTGACATACATGTGCTTGCATGGTATTGTTCCATCTTGAATGCCACCTGCAGATCTGGCCAGAGAAACTGGTAAAGCCATGGAGAAAAGCAGCCAGGGAGATCTCAGGTGGGAGCCGACTTCTGTGCGAGGGAAGACCAAGGGATTAGAGCTGCAGCACCCATAAAGGGCACGAGCGGCATGTGAGAGGGGCATGGAAAACCATGGTATAGAAGAATACAAACAGGGACTAACGACAGTAAAACTAGAGGCAGGACACCAGATAAAATAGTCAGGTTCAAATAACTGAACAGAAGCCAGGTAAGGAGCCGTGGCGCTTCACGGAAGCAGATGTGTAAATGGCTTTTGACTCAATGGAAGAGGGATGATCTCAGAGCGCGTGTTTGCAGGCTTCCCTACGTATCCATTGCTCGTCACAGCTGGAGAGGAGGCAGATGGGTACGGGTCCGAGTCATTACAGCACCCGTTGGGCCTTTCTCAGAGCTGTACCCATCGGTTTTTGCCTGGAGCTTGCAGAGTAGGCTGGTGATAATAGAGAAAAAAAACCCAAACTGTGCCAAAAGGGACTACAGGAGGTTAGAAACACAAACCCTTCTCCCTTTCCGAAAAGTGCGAAAGGAAACATTTTATGCACTAATATAATTTGTGGGGATGGCTCCGAGTCAGCAACTTGCATCTAAACGCTCCCTTCAAAAGCTTAGGGATGCATTTACATTTGGAATCGGATTGGAAATGTCCCTTGGTATGAAGTTGGTGAAAGCAAAGACCTAAATGACAGGCTCTGCAGGTCTGGTTTTGCTCTGAACCTTCCCAAAGGAAGAGGTAGGGAACAAGGAGGAGCCAAGGAGCAGAATGGAAATACTAGAGACGCGTTAGAAGCTTGTTTACACTTCAAAGCTGTTTTGGATAATGCAGGGTGTGAGCCGAAAGCACAAGAACTATTCCCATTTAAAATTATTCCCAAATAGGAGCGCCCTGTTCTGCATCAGCATAATCCATGTTTAAAATGGATTATGATAAAGGAGAGCAAGGTGCTTTTGTGCTACCATACAGGTTTCCCCACATGGGGTTATTTAGGATGACTATCCCGAAAAAATTCAATTTGTAGACATCCTCTTGTGCGCGGTATCAGAGAAGAGCAAACTCCACTCTGACACACGATGAAAGTACATGCACGCACGCTGTAATATACAGGCGTGAAATATAATTTCACAATGTAATCATATTATGAAAACCTGCCTTGGTTTGGGCACTCTGAATATCAAGGAATCCTTAGACATAGCAGCGATGAGCAATGCAGACAAAGTCAGGATATGCCTACAGCAATTACAGGCCACCTCCATCGGGTGGAAAAATACCTCCCTCCCCGTGTTCCTCTTCGGGTAACTGCGAGGCTTTTGAATGTTTTATGAGGAACAGTCTGGTGCCTGAAAGGCCAGGATGCCACCAATTACCTTGTAATTGGGAGGAAGTTTGCTGATTTGGATTCACTTGTTGATTGTGCCACAGATGCTCGAGACTGACCGACGGATGCGTCGTGCAGCAGCAACTTTCTAAAGGCGTCGAGACTTCCACTTCCTAAAAACGTGGGCACCTTCACTTCTGCAGGCCACAGAGATAGGGTTGGACTAGATGATCTCCCGAGGTCCCTTCCTTGCCATTCTGTGATTCTGTGATAGCGGAGAAGAACACAACTTTCAGAGGTCATACCAGGCCAATTAATGGTTGTGATGAATTAGCGCTGGCGTTCCCCTCCCGGCTGGCTGTCAAACGAGGCCATCCCCCTGATGTGTTCTTTGCCTTTCCGTCCTAAGAGGAAAAAAAAAAAAAAAAGGGCATTTTACACAATTCATGGCTCAGCCCTGATATAAATTCCCACACTGATTACAAATATTATCGTGGGAAAATACGTGGGATTGTGTCAAAGAGTAAAAATAGATTCAGGCTCATGGTTTCTACGCCTGTTATAGAACACTCTGGAATTTCAATCCTAAAGGGGAATTGAAAAAAAAAAAAATATCTTTTTTGAATTAATTTTGAATGAATGGCAAGCCCAGGGAAACCACATGATGATCCTCGACAAGTGAAAAAGAAAAAGAAGATTAACAAAACCTCTTCATTCCCTAACAGTCAGCTATCCCAAGGGTAAACCGAGGTTAACATTGAACTGTGACTCTGTCCTGTATCATTAACGCAAGCAAGCAGAGGCTGTGTTGGCATTCTGCACGGCTTTGGGTAGGCTAAATAATTACCTTTAAGCAGGCTACCTTAAAAGCAACAGGGTAATAACAGCTCTCCGCGCTAAAGCAACACAATAAACAGACTTTGCTGACTTGTAGTTAATGCATTCTTTCATATATGAGCGAGTCCATTAAATTCCAAACTTTACATACGGAGGCCGAGGAGCCACAGCATCAGTGAGCAAAGGATGTTTTTCCTGTTAGTGCAACTGAATCAAAACACCAAACACCAAAACAAGCAGCATTTTCAAATCAGGCAGTAAAACCAGTGTTATTTGCAAGGGTGACAAAATGCTTGCGTCGGAGATTATTGATTTAGCAGCCCAGACAGATCGCCCCGTGTCATGCGGAGCATACGGCTGTAGCCTTAATTATCCTAACAGACTTTGGGAGAAACAGCCTAACCCCAGTCATTACGCAGAGTCTGAACACGCCGAGCCAGAAGGTATCATTTGGGCCTTCCTGCCTGCCCTCCTTTATAGTGCAAAGAATTCCCACTGTGGCCACCTGAGCATCGCTGCATTTTCAACAGGATACCATAAATAGCAATAATAATTCCAGACGTTGAATATCCACCCAGGCTTTGACCCCATAATGGCGGTGCTGAAGCATCCCAGTGACCTCTCTGAGGCAGGCAGGCAGCAGAAATGATGCCAGTGTTATTCTGCATGGCTTCTTTGTATGTTTTTGTCCTGGCACTTTCGGATGCTTCTCATTTGATTCTTTTCAGCAGAGAAAAGGCTAAAATTATAGCCTGAAATTCAGAAGTATTGCCCATAAGGATAGCTCCATTTTAGTAGCACAGGTCATAGCCAAAGGTGATTTGTTAAATGGAGACAGCTCAGCTTTTTTGGGGGCGTGAAATGAGTTCAGGGAAAGATCAAGCTATTGCTCCAAGTCGAGAGGTTCTGCAGCACGTCCAGATGTGTCTGTATGCTAGTCTTCTCACCTGGTGATTGGTCTCTCCGTGCAGAAGTGCCTTGGATTCCCCTCGAGTTTTTCCACTGTACAGAGCCTTAAACTGGCTGAAGAATCCCCAGGAGGCAGCATTTTCTTGGCGTGACTGAATGACCTGCACTCAACAAAAGAAAACTATAAAAAAGAAAACCGTTCTCCTCTGCCCCCACCCAAAAATTCGTGTGTTCTATGTGGTTCTATCTGTTATCTCAGAACAGGTAGGTCTCATCGAATTCTGCAATGGCATCTTGGATGTATTTACCCTCAAGCACATGCTGCAAGAAGCAAATCACATTCTTTCACTCAAGATCTTCCACAGTCAAACTTCTACTCTGTTACAGACCCGATCAAAGGGGATCCATGGAGTTTTTTACTGGGTGAGCTTCGGAACATGAAGCGGCTGAAATACTGCACGCTTTTATTCCGGACTTCATCGGAGTTTCATCACACCTTGAAGACATTACTGACAGCTACGTGGAATCGTAAACACAGCCTTACCCGCGTTTCCTGCGCAGACTCTATCGCCCAGGGTTGTTTCTTTTCCAACAGGTTTACTTCTCAGCATGCAGCAAATATTTTCAAAAGAGCAGCATTTCCTACGAAACCATTTCATCCAGTCCAATCGGCATACCTGAGTGCTTGTTTCAGGAGGGTTACCTTTACGTTCCAGTAGTACCTTGTGCCATCAGACATCAGATTCTCCTTGTATTAGGCCCTGTGCAAAGAGGCCTTACCCCCAAATTTCTATTTCAGTAGACAAGATTACAAAGGCAATAGTTACCTGCATATTGCAGAAAACAGATGGGACATACAGAGTTGAGGGGATGTGCAGAGGGAGACACAGGGAGTCTGGGAAAAAGCTGGGATCCAACCCAGAAAATTCAACTCTAGCACCGTAACTACATAAAAAAAACCAAAATTCATTTCAACAGCCTGTTTCAGACAAAAACATAGACTAGAGGTTTATTACTTTATTTCCAGTGATAAAGAATTATCTCCTTTAAGAACCCGTGTTCTGCTTTGCTGCCCGTTGGGTTCATTGCAAAAGCAAAGGCAGAAACGCATTCAACCTAGGAAGGCAACGCATCGCATGGTGGTGCTGCCGGTGCCACAGGCAGGGCTGAGGAGCAGCCTAGTGGAAAGGCCAGTTTGCTCAGTTCGGACAATGCAAACAGCCCTTCTACACCCTCTTTGTAATGTGCTGCTGCTTTGACTCTTAAATGGACCCTGGCACCACAGGGAATTGCTTCAGCCCAGGCCTCCCACTCCTGACCCATTTTCATTTCATTTCCTCTCCCCCAGCCCTGTCATATGTCAGGAGCATATTATACCTTTTAGAGTTTCATGCTAATTTGGTCATCATAGGGAGCCTCCAGAAGAGCGCAGTAATTACCCTGCTAAATCAGAGCAGTCTTTTAGCACAGATAACTCTGACTCTGCCCCATTCCGGACCTCTTTGTGGGGAAGACAGGGTTTGGCACAGCTCTCTGAAGCCAAAATGGGAGCAAGCGCCTCCGCAGCCCTGCGTGGGGCAGGGAGCCCATCGCCGCCTCGGCATGGCACGGCCGTGCACGCACCAGGCAAAGAGGTTTCGGGTGAACTGAGAAGGGTTCAGCTGTCCCCAGGAAAACGAGCACGGCAAAGGAGGTGGGAAACCTGCCCACCCTACGGAGCATCTGGAAGAAAGATGGACAGTTAGAGAATCTATACTGCAGGTCTTATCTGGCAGTCTGAGGACTTTGAAGAAAAGGTAAAAGAAAAATAAAGACACATTCCTGTTTTAAAGCATTCTTAAAAAAAGTTGCCAGTGCCTTCAAATCTGCTGAGCTAAGGAGTAATTCAGCCAAGTGCTGTGAGGAAAAAATAGCTCAGTCCAGTTGGGGGCAAAAATTTTTCCTATTGATGCCATGTGTTAATAAGCTTTTTCACAGCTTTTGAACATACAGAACCTTTTGGTTTAGTTCTCTGCAAATTTTGGAGTCGACATGGAATCCAAACTCCAAAACGTATGGCTTAACAGCTCCTAAAAACATCAGCAGAGGTTAACCTCAAATCTTTGACCAGCTTAGGTCAACATCGGCGATGAAGGTGAGCTGACCTCTGGCAGTGTTCACACAAGCGGCCTTCCTGACATTTCACTAAAGCATGGGCAATAAACGCTCAAGTAAATACCAGTACACAAACCTAGGAACATCTGATGTACCAGACCAAAGCCCTGGGTGTGATGATTCGGACAGTTTCCTCGCGTGCTTTGAGCGGATACTGTAAGACAAATGAAATCCAAACCCAGCTTTAATCGTTTTCTTCTTGAAGGTGCCCACTCAGAGCTACACGATTTTAAGGATGAATATAAAAAAATTGAAGAGAGAAAGGTTTGAACCTTATCATCTTAAATGACAGAAAATTCTTGACTTTGAGGGTTCAGAGCCCTGGCCCAGGCTGCCCAGGGGGGCTGTGGAATCTCCTTCTCTGGAGATATTCAACCCCCGCCTGGACGCTGTCCTGTGCCCCCTGCTCTGGGTGAGCCTGCTTGAGCAGGGGGGTGGCACTGGGTGAGCTCCCGAGGTCCCTTCCAACCCCTGCCAGCCTGGGATTCTGTGAAAATAAGAACTAAATAAACCCTGGGGATCTTTTACACCCTGTACTTGGCCTTGCCCAGTAACAGAAGTTTCAGAAGCCGCTGTTCAAAAAAAGAAAACCACAAACTGATCTGACAGCTCAGGACACGTCTTCCCAACTCCCAGATGCCAGAGCCTGGTTACATACTTTAAAGTTTCTGATTCCCATACTCCAACTATGGACATTTTATTTATACAGACACATGCATTTTCTGTTAAAGCCAGGCCCATAATGGTATCTTTCAGCCACAGCCTCAACACGCGACCTGTTGGTTGGGTAAGAGCAGACAAATGCGTTCCAGTATTTCACATCCCAAACCAGCCATTTCAGACTTTTCATGATTTTTTTTTCTTTCTTAAGCCAATTTTGCTGTGGGATCATAGAAAGTTCTTTGAAAACAGCATCACATGGTGCTGTAGCTTCCCCCCACACACACACTGTTGCTGATAAAAATCATCTGAGCATCCTCACAGTAAATGTCAAGAGCACTTTTGCAAGGGAGAATGGCATGATCCTGAAAAAATTAAAGATGTACTTCACCTTCACGTCCCTGCTCATTAGTGCTTGGCCTAGCTAGTAGAGGATGGATTCCAGCTACTCTTTTTGGTCACTTTGGCAAGTCACTAGCTACCTTAGCCTTCACGCGTGAAAACATGGATAAATACCTGTTTCATGGGACAGCCGCCCAACACTTGTGAAAAATAAAACATGCATCTTCCAAGGGAAGAAACAACCTTGTGCATCCCGCCTGCCACTGCCAGACAAGGCGTTAATTCGTTCTCTGAGGCTGAGTTTCAGGCTCTCAGGCTGAGTTTCTGTGACCATCAGATGATCTGCACAGAGACGAAGAGGCCAAACAAGTTTGTAAGGAGGCGTTGTCGTCGTGCATGCAAGATCACTGCCCTCTGCTGAATGGAAGAGGCTTGTGAGATGCCCAGGTTTTCTCCTCAAACCAAAGATTAACTAGCTCGGTATCTGGAAAACTGCTTCGTTTGGGGGAAAGAGATGTCAGGAAGAAGTAGCACACTGCAGTCTGCTCTGTTAACTTCATGGGAAAAGAGGTTAAGAGGAAACTTTTTTTACATTACCCTGGTAGCAGGCATCTGTTGCATTTCAAGGGCAGCATTTAGCAAGAGGAGGTCAAGCATCGCGTTTTGGTGGTACTATAGTAGGATACTGCCAATAATCCTAAAAAATACAATGAATATGATGGAGCCTGCTTTGTCTTCTGTAAATCAGCTACAGGAGATACACGATGTCCATGGTTGTGCATAAACACAAGAAATATTTGGCAACATTAAGGAAGCCTCCACTAAGCAAAAGGTACTTGACCCAAATCAAAATACACTTAGCCAAGTCATCCTTTTGGACAATTAGATTATTAGGTTGGCCCCACCCTGTATGGTCGCCTTAGAGTTCATTTATACTACATTTAGACTACATTTGCTGGTATTCGGAGCCATCCACAGTTTAGTTTCCCCTCTCTATAGATTTGATCAGCAGAATTTAATTTTTCCCAAATCTTGCTAAGCCTTAATGCTTTACTATATTACATGGGGAATAAGAACATACGGGCAATCCTGGAACAGATCCTTTTAAACATCCTTTCCCCTCTCACCATTGCTCAACAGCAAAGGGGTTTCTCTATTCCTTCCACAGCTGTCTTGAGTTAGACGACATGAATAAGCTTATTGGATAACTACCTAATCGCACGTTCGCACAGAAACAAAACACTTAAACTGTCACTTCACATTTTCAAGACAACTAACTTATTTTTAACATAGTCCTCAACCAGTCAGGACTACACAGAGGCTCAAACCAATGTAGTCAAGAACATGGAAAAGAGAGAAGTTGCATGCTTTAATTCCACCATTTCCATTTTGCTTTTTAAAATCTGTTAAAGCAACTTAGGTCTGTTTAGTTTGATCAGTGCTCACAGGAAAATTTCCTGCACTTAACTACTGTTGATGGCAGACTGATAGCAACCCATGGAAACTCTGCATAAAATTAAACCTTTAAAGAAAAAGAATTAAAAATGGCTTGAAGGATACTTTTTATGAGTAGGATGAATTTCTTTTTCCTTACAGACACAATATGTGCAGTGCTTCACAGGTAGCAAAGTGAGAGGTTTTTCCTTCCTCAGAGCCAAGCTATCTTACACAAAAGGCATATTCTGTCCCTGCTTCAGATGGGAAAATGGCATCAGCCAAATCCTAAGCACTATGAACATAATCCGTAGTGTCAGCCCTGGCATCGGCTGATACTTCTTGTAGGAATCTAGTGTCAAAACTAGAGGCAAGAGCAAATGAAAACACATCCTTGGGAGGGTTCAGCCTGATCTCTCCCCTCTGCTCCTCCGCCTTTACCCTGCCAAGTGACAGCTCCATTTGTTGCAAACAAAGTTTCTGCCAGTGACGGTTTCATCGCTTCACCACGAACAGAAGTCACTCAAAGGCTGCTGAGAATACTGAACAGGATCACTCCAAACACACTTTGTTTCAGTATCTTTGATTGCCTCACTGATTTCTACAAGCACACCTGCTGAAGGCCCTCGGGTTTGCACAGAAAAAGCAATCCCTGCCCAAGGCATCTCACCCCGGCTTGTTTAACTGAATGGGGTCACAGATTTCTTGGACTGGAAAAAGTCTTGGGGAAACACATAGGTGAATCAAGGTGGGGTGCTCTCCCCCACCAGTAGCTCCACATAACGGCTGGGTACAGCAAGAAGGGGAGGTACTTTTTTACCTTTGGCCATTTCAGTTTTTAATTGCGTGTCTGTGCTCGGCTGTCACTTGCCATCCCGTGCGGGGAGAAGCTTCATCACTCAAGACAGCTCCGAGCCACCAGTCACTTCAGGGCCACAGAACTGTCCTGATGACATTACCAACCCGTGCTAAGAACGATTACGCCAGCCAGCTGAGTACTAACGGTCTCCTCTGTGCCAATCTTTCCTGCATGCACGAAGCTCTACAACAAAACGCAGATTTTCTTCCATGACAAAGTACAATTAACACCGAGATGACCCGTAAGTCCTGCACCTACACTCACATACTTCTTTCAGCAAAGCACTCCCCGCATAACGTGGCCTAAGGCAGAGAGGCTCCGTTCCCATGTAAACCGATCTTAGAGCAAACTGCGGGCTCTTGGAGAGATGAGCTGGTGCAGTGATCTGTTACATGCACGGCGCTCAGGAAGGGACCATCTTTAAACAGGAAACCTAAAACGAGAAAGTGCCTTGTTAACTCTTTAGGCCCTGAGGCTTTGGTGGTAAAACATATGGTCAGAATTACCAGCCAAAGCAAAGCAGAGCAGCTCACTGCGGCTACGATGCCCTAGGAATACGTTACCTTGGTTTACAACAATAATTTTTTATAGGATGAGGAACCAAAAACTTATTAGTAGAAAGCAGTACTTTCCTGCAGCGCTCAATTCTTTCAGAGATTTCTTACGAAAGAGAAGCCTGTAATGATAAATACAGATCCTTTTCAACTGGAAAGGTGAGTTCTTTCCAAAAGGTATTCCCAGATTCTAGGCAAAACACAGTTTCCAAAAGCTTTAGGGCTAAACTTGAAGCAGGTAAGAGGTTTTCTTCTCAAGTAATGCAAACGGAGAACTCAAAACATTGATTTTTTTCAAATGGATTCCATATATTACCATTAAAAATGGAAGCTGAATGTTTTTTAATTTAAAGATCAGCACTGCAGACCTTTAAAACAACCCAAAGTTACACAGCAAGAGTATTACGCCTTTCCTTAAAAAGTGTAAATTCTTGGAAAGCCCTCAAAAGAATCTACTTCATCAGAGGCTGGAGCCCAACCTCATCGTGGGCCAATTCTTTTGTTCTGCTGCTTTGCACTAAAGCTCTGTATTTATTCATTCCTAGAGGTTGCTGCTCTGTTGGCTTCTGATGCAACCCCTTGCATCTTCGCTCAATGGGGGATTCAGATCCCGGTCCCTGCCCTCAGGCAAAACATATGTTCCACTCCAACCTGAATCCAACAAGGGTGTTTGCAAGGGAATAATTGTTTTATGTTTATTAATCACCTGCATGCAAATAAGCACCAATAAAAACTCCAGGCAGATTCTCTGCCAGACTCACATGATCTAATAGCACCACACCCCAGTTTGGGTGCCTGAAATAATGAATACCTCCGAAGCGGAGGCATTGCTACTTTGATATGCAGTGACAAAAATATCACATCAGCTCAGGCACTCTGCAATGATGGCTTTGAAAAGAGAGACAAGAAACCTGCAAAAACATTCAACATTGGTGGTAAAATAAATTAGAGATGCCGCACGTTAAGCTAAACAAATACATTAATGCAACATGAAGGGGTGAGATTTCAATTGCAGAAACCAGAACGCTCAGGCTCTACTCACGTTAAATGTGACCTGCCAAGAGAAAATGATCAGGCTGGGGACTTCCTTTCTTAAAAGTTGGAAAAGGTTGTCAAAAGACAAGGTAAATTTTAGTAAAATGTTTCAGAGTTATATGCCGTTGGCCTTAGATAAAAGCCATTGCAGCAATTACTGCAACAAAACCAGCTGATAGTGAAACTCATTCTGGAAAGAATTAAGCTACAAAGGCTGATGGGACTTCAGTTAAGAATTGGGTTTAATTAAGGGCAGTCCTAAGAGGCAGGATGAGTTAAGGCACTGGCACTGCAAATTTCTTCTGTGACGTTAAGTGAGCCTCAGGCTCTAGTCCAGTTCTTGCCTGTTCAGTAGGATGGGAACACTTAGTCTCTTCCCCCAAAAGTTGCCAGACCAACAGTCTCAAACACACTACTGAGGCATGACCAAAAAAGCTGTGACAAATAAAGACAGGTTGGTCTGTCACTTACCTTTCCCAGCTGAGAATTTAGGTGCTCTGCCATGCCAGGCAAGCAATACTCTGCACACAATCCTGTACGCATCCATCCTTCTACTTCCAGGATTCTTTTTCCAAGCTTATTGACACATAAAACAAGCACCCAGACTGAGCACTGTAAATGGTTAACTCATTCAACACAAATTCAAGTAGGGAAGCAGTCTCAATGAAAATTAATTCTCAGAAGATTCACTTCTGGGCAGACTGCAAGCATCAGCCACGTGATAATTAGCTGAGGCTGTTCTGTGAATGGAGTTTTTATATGGAAGCATCATCTAGAGCCTAGACAGAGCAGTGATTATTCTCAGGGAAACAAAGCTCCAGCTAGTTTAGAGTAATTCAAAGATTTATGAAAAGTGCTGCGGTTCTATTTCTCATTGAACTACTTTCATGTACTTCTAAATGTACGGACACATCAATTAAGAAAAAAATCACACAATTGATGCATCAGTTCGTACTTAAAATACTTGATGTAGTTATGAGCCTACTGTGCCAGCAGGAGAACGTTCCTTCCCAGTAACAGAGCCATGGCCAGGTGAGTCAAAAACAACCACTAGCACTGTAAAATCCATTCTACTTGAAAACCTCTTTTCACCTTTCACTTGGATTAGATGGAAACGAAGTATAATGAAAGCAAATCAAGTCTTTGAAAACCTGATTATTGTTGTTTTATAAAGCAAACAGTGGTAACATCTTCAGCAAAAAAAAAAAGTAGATGCTGTATGTTTCGCACGAAACACTTGCCTGGTGTTTGCTGAGCTTTAATTATGAGAGTGGATGACAGCACACTATCATCTAGAAAACATAGTGCCAGTTTCCCCATGCATGAGAAACTTATGGGGAGGGGGAAGTAAAAATCTCAGAAGAGGAAAGAAAGGTAAGCAACCAGAGCAGGCACCCATTAACAGCTTCACCTTCAATGCGGAACAATTTACTTAAATACTCTCAGGAAGGGTCAGTGCAATAAAAAGATAAAACCGGCTATATAAATGTCAATCTTTATTCGATCTCCCAGTGCAGTACAAGACTTGCATGCTTCAAGTGAATAGAAAAAAAACCCCAGAAGTGAACAAAAAAGATGACTGCTGAAGAAGGATCTCAGGGGTTAGGACATCGATTTTGCAAGGAGTATATTGTCCACTTCATGGATGCCATCTTTGTCAATGAACCGGGCATTGAAAGAAGCCAGATTTAGGATGAAGCGGCTCTGAAGCTGTTCGACAAAAGACAAAAAGACAAGAGAGATGAGATTCATTCAAAGCTTAAATAAAAGGGGAGAGCGTAATTTCAGGGATACGCTGCTGCATATCAAAATTTCCACTCTGGTTCTAGTGACCTGAAATATTAGGAACCAGTGGTTTTTTCACTGCTCAGGAATCAATTAGTGTGAGTTTGTTCTCTGTTAAAGACTATCGTGTCAGACAAGCCAAGCCTAGAGATGCAAAAGCCCGTTAATAAGGAAGACCTTTAGGCAGGAAGACTAGAGTGGGCTACAACTTAGGGCACAAAGCCTATGTATCAAAGAGTTACTTCAAACAGAATCTCCCTAGAGTCCTTCTTCCTGATGTTTCCCCAGATGTTTCTTCCCAGTTACATTCAATTCCATTTCTTAAAGACAAAGATAAAGAATATTTACCTGCAATAAAAGCCTCAGAGTCTGAAAGGTTATGTTTATGCTAAAATTGATCATGAACTTTAAGGTCAAGTCCTTACCTCAGTTAGATATCACCTCACAAGTGCGGAGAGAAGTACACTTAGGCGTGTGTACCAGCTAAGCATAACACAAGTACCAGCAGGATGCTCGTGTTACGTTCAGAAGAAACGTAAAAGGAAAAAGTCAAAGACTGTCTGTATCAATATTATGCTAAGCATGGAAGAAGCAGGAGTAAGGAGAAGCAATTAAGCTTCAAGTTTATGTTCTGGAGGACGTGAACCATGCTAACACAATGCAAGTGCCCACAAATCCTTTTCCTCAGTAGCTATTCCACATCTGGTCAATGTGCATTTATTACCCCTTCTGGCAAAGACAGCACAAAAATGCAACAAGAGGAACAGGAAAATATCGGCAAATGAATGCAAACAAACATTCCTTTCTCGAGATCATAAGGGCCTAAGTTTGGCAACTCACCTCCTCTAGACATTTTTTTAGGAGCTCCACCGCTTCCTCACGTGTGATACCTGAAAGAGAAAACATCCACAGATGGATTTAATTAGAGGCCATCTCTCTCAACAGAAACTTTATTAAATTTAAACAACTTTTCAGCTGAGCACCAAAACCTCTCCTTCCCAGCTCACAGAAAACACTTTCCAGATGTACTGAGGACGCCCTGCACCGAAGCGCTCACGCTGCAACAAGCCATTGAGAATCGATTTGTTACACTGAATGGGAAGCATGACGGAATTTTGCCTCCCATGGCCAGGGACTGGGCTTCGGAGAAGTCCAGCCGTCTCTCTCTCCTCGAGTTTATTACAGTTTTAAATCAGCTCCATCTGCCCACAGCCGGCTGCAAGTCAGTGACAGTAGGCGGAGATTGGTTTTAGTGCTGTGTTCCCTGCTGGGTATTAGTTTTAATAATGGGAAAGGCACGTGTGCGATGCCCCTGCTATTCTCACACATTAGGATAAAATCCAGCGCTCTATAGGGATGACAAGCCGTGACAACGTATTGTAGCTCACTATTTTTCCTCTTTTCACGAGGAACGGTGAAAGTGGAGCAGCATTATTTTCAAGGGACATGACTAGAAAACCACCAAGCTCTGTGGATCTCACAAAACTAGTTTCTAGAGTTTGTTCCAGACCCGCATCCCCTGTTCAGGCAGAAGTCCCATTAGAGTGAAATTGTCAGGTTACAGCCACATTTCTTGCAGGAGATAGATGAAAGGATTACTAAGAGAACATCTCAGATTCACTCAGCTTTGCACACAAGGAACAAAGCAGTTTTGTAGCTAAAGCCAAAGATGTCAGATTAACAGTATTCCAAGCTTTGTGCATTTCCTCATCTGCAAAGTGGGGATGGGGCCACGTTTATTCCTTGCCAGTGTTAAGAACTGGAAAATTATTCTAAAATTAAAACTTCAGACAGGTACAGACATGTACAAGAATTATGATCAAGTTCTGCCACGTGCACAAAACTATAAAGCAAACCAGCCAGCCTTCATCACCACCACTTTAGAGCACTGAATATAATCTTGCTAGGAAGATCTTTTCAATTGTGTGTTTCTAATATAGTGCAGGCAAAGCCAATCCAAGGGATGAAGCAATAGGGCCTGGGACTGCCCTCTAAAGATTGATACTCTGGGAAAATGTACACGTCATAGCCAACAGACAAGCAAGGAGAAGATAAAGTTATCAAAATGTTATTTATTAAAAACAGACTACTAGCAGCTAATGGTCCAGGGAAGTCTAGTCATGTTTAAGGATAAATTGAAACTTCCTTTGCTTACAGTCTGTCATGCTTCAAACAGGAAAACGCTTTGAGGAGTTGACTAGTTTCACGTTACCATTGCAGCTAAAACAGAAGGCAGTCTTTAAAGCTACATTTATTCTAACAAAAAGTCAAATCTGTAGCATTGCAGCAATTGCGCTGGACCATCTGACTCAGCAAATGTCAATCTCTCAGCTTAAGCCTTTAATTTATTAGTCAGGAAGAGGAGAATTTTCTTCTCCATAGGCTCCACTTACTTGGCTTGTAATAGCGGTCGAGGATGCTGAGGGTAAGGAATGCACCGTATCCATGCGCTGCAAAAGGAGCTTTAGCCAGAGCCGCAAGATAATCCATGTAATAAAGGGCAGGACCTTCCTGGTCATCATAGCCAGCCAGGAGAAGGTTGACGTGGTAAGGGGTCTACAAACAGAAGTGATGTTTTCATTAAAGCAGCCACACCCAAAACTTTGAACCTTAATTCCCCATGCCACCTACGGAATAACGGCATAGTTGCACAATTCTTTGCCACAAAATGCTACTAGCAACTACATCAATACTGTCTGGAGGAGATTATGGATTTCCATCTAAAAACGATTAGGTCTTTTGGTAACATGGAATGCAGAAGCAAATAAAAACATAAACCCAACTCTTCTGAAGACCAGTGGTGTTTTGGGTTTGGTTTTTTTTTTTTTTTTAAAGCTTTCATGGCACACTCAAACTTAAGAAAACTTTAATCATGTTTTCACACCAGATTCTTTCATCTCAACATAAAACTTGTGGATTTTTACTGTCAACACGTGAGCACAACGTGAACATTTTGCTGTTTATAAGAACTTCTTTGTTAATTTAGCACGGTCTTTTCTCAGTCACACTACTGCTAACCATAGACCCTTCTAGCACATACGAAAGCTTACACACAGTGCAAACAGTCGTGTACAGTGTTACGCTGCCTTGTTAATTGATAGTTAGATTTTTATTGCATGTACCAAGTTTAACCTTTACTATGAGGCCAGCTTGGCCAAGTGAATGAAGAAGATCTAAGGAACTGGTTTATTTCTATTCAAAACTGACTACTGAGATACTGCAACAGCGTGTCAGCAGTACCTTTTCCGTTTGGTTGGAAACTGTTTTCTTAAACCAGAAATTTAGCCTGCTTTAGCTGCTGTCTTCTCTGATTCTTGTTTCTGACTTCAGCAAGAGCCTATCACTAAGACTGAGAAATATCTACATCTCATCCAAAAAGACCGTGCAACTGGATTAATGTAAACTTGCCTTTTTATCGTGCTCTACATGCAAGTTTAGCAATTCCTCAGCAGTTTTCTTTGTGTTTTAGGTTTAGTGTGTTCATTATTTATAATGAATAAAGCAAATGTCCCTATACATCTTCCTCCAAGATATGTACTCTGTAAGACCATGAAACATGCACGCACTGCAGTATTTTTAAGTGTAGGCTCAAAAGAAAATTTTGGAACTTTATATATTTTTTTAAAACTGCTTTTATATACTTCCAGTATTTTCACATTTATATAATGTTTCTTATTAATCATACTAACAGGATATCTGTTAAAATGCTGGCAAGTTTAGATCAACAAAGCAACAAAATGAGGAAAAAAAAAAAAGATGATGCAACTAACAACCGATGAGAACAAGCAAACACAATTTCACCCTAAAGCCAAAACATTAACTTTATCACAGGAAAAAGTTCATTTTCGTAATAAGCACAGTGAATTCACACTCAAAAAATATTACAGGATACTATATTTTTACTTTCACCAGATAGTAAGGAAGAATAAAGCAGGCTACAGTTATATATCAAACATTACTGTAAATTGTGTGATTTAATCTTCAAAGCATTCAAGAATACTTGGAACCAAGTTACCATGCAGCTGTATTCGTTTAATTAGTCTGTATTTCATCATTTATTTATTCTGAAACATCACACAAGTTGATATTTAAGAGCCATGACACAAGATCACTCAAATCAGTGTGACTTTGAATTACTAACATTGGCACATGCAAGATACTCAGCCATAAATAAATGGTGTTATACAGACTTAAACAAATCTGTGAGCCGTTTTTCAGTTGTAAGTGCTCCCGCTAATGGTCTGTGAGACAACGTCTTAAAACTCAAATGTAAATAATGTGTCCTCCATGCCTTCCTATTATTCAAGAAAGGTAGGACTTAAACATGAGAAACTACACATAATCTATTTATTACTTCTGTGATTACAAATGGCATTTGCAGACGGCAGCTCTTAGTGCTGTCTTAGGGGGGCTAACATCTCCGTGCTGGGGCTGGTATTCCTTGTACATCTCAATCCTTTTGTCCATTCCAAAAGCAGCCTTGGCTTTTGTAACCAAATCCATGCCAACAGCTCTCAACTGTTTAGAAGATTGGTGTGATTAAAGGGCTGTGAGTGGATGCCTAACACTCCAGGACAGAGCAGGCTTTTATTTTTTTCCCCCCCAAACTTAACCTTCCTATTAGAGGCAATATTTCTCATCCCAAGTAGCTTTGCACTTTATGCTGTTTGATTTAAAATAACTACAGCAATTAAGAGATGTGTGAAATTCTTCAGAATTTACAGCTGAAGAGAACAGTTGTGATAAATACACTAAACCAACAAGATCAGCAGTGGGAGGCTGGGCGGTGACAAGCAGCCGTGTGACATCTGGCGGAAGCCAAAGTCACAGCACAGGGGGCAGGGGGAAAGGTGGGCGTGAGAAAGCATCCTGCCAAGCGCGGGCAAGGAGAGGAACTGACAGTCTTCCTTTGGACTCAGGCCAGACCCTGTCACCTATAATTAAACATAACATCACAACAAGAAACTGAACTTCATGTTTGGAGGGGCAGGGGGTTGTTTTTCCTATTTTCCCCCTACACACAACCTCACCAGTATGTTAAGTGTCCTAACCCTGGCACTTGACTCAGCAGGAGAATCAAGTGAGATGCTGGATTAAGTAATGGTGGAAGAGGAATTAGAGCAGCACTCACCTGTGCGAAAGCCAGTTGGCCCCAAAGTAGTTTCTAGGTTTGCCTCAATTGCAACAGATAAACAGAAATCAACAAAGCTGCTTTTCAGGTCCTACTCTGGAGCATAAACCCCATGTTTTAAAGAAAGAAATGTCATGGAAAACCACATGTTGGCTATTCAGCAAGAGAAAAGAGCACAGTAATGTAATGGCCTTAAGTGACAAGCCTGGCGTCATTACACTTGATGCTTTCCACCAAAAGAACACCTTCCAGGCACTGCCTTACAAGACAGCCATCCCCAAGGCATCAGGAACTTGGCTTACGTGAGCCACAAGGTTCATAAATGAAATCAAACTGGGAGGAACCCAGATGGGGATTAACAATGCAGAACAAGCTCTATTTTGGGCTGGGCCGTGACAACAGAATAATGCCTGAAAAAAAGTACTGTTTCAGTGTTAGCCAGTCCCCTTCCCGTACCTTCTAGCTTTCTGTAACAGAAACAGCTGCACGCAGCGACTGGCAACGCAGCAGCAAAACTACTTTTTCCCCCACCAAAACTATTTTCCTGCTCCTAACAGGAGGTGGTGGCGCATTTTACCTGTTAATTTTTTATTATCATCCCCATAATTAAATTAATAGCCTCCAGGAATCCTATACGCAATTTAAAGAGATACAGAGAGCTAATGTTAATCCTTCTGGTATCCCACAAATGACAATGAAAATGTAACAGAATTCATGGGGAAAAAAAAAAAATCTGATGGCAAGGTTTGTATCATCAAGTTCCAAATCCCACAAACAAATCATTAAATGCTATGTTTAAAGAAAAAGAGTTCTCCCTGCAGTATAGAGATCACTGTAGTGTGACAGTCGTGTCAGAGTGCGTCGCTTGCTCCAGGGCATTGCCATCTGCATCAGCACAGCATTTTGTCTCCGGTAAATAAACACATCTGCCTTTGCCAGTGTCCTCCCCACTGTGCTGCCCATCTGGAGCAGGTGAGCTGGAAGACAGGCACGAGCTCAGGAAGGAGGGGAGACACAGGGAGGATGAGGCCTCAAGGGACATGGCACAGGGGAAGACGACAGTGCCACATCCTGCTGGTCAGGTTTACCAAAAGGCCTATTAAATTACTCCTGTCAGAGGTACTTTAAATCATATGTAAGAAATAGCTGCCTCTGCTTAAGTGGGCAGGACATTCAGCATCAGCCTCACCTTCACCATCTGTGCAGGTCAGATGCCACCAAGACGAGCCACCAGCACCAGGCAGCCGACAGCCACCTGGGCCAGGCACCAAGCAGCATTACTCCTTCACATCAACCTCAAAAACTGCAGAGTGTTCCACAAAACACACGCAGACCTTCCAAACCACACCTGAACAAAAGCTAAAACAAGCAGCATCACTGCCAACCATCACCTACCAGCCATGGTTAATCCATGTAGTTGGTTGAAGTAATTTAAACCAGAAGCGTAACGTTTCATGTACGAGACTGAGGCAGGACCCCACACTCAGTTCTACTGCCTCGCTCTAACTTTGGCAGCTTGAGAGCTTGCTACCTTCAGCTGTCATCCACGTCAGAAGTGAGAACAGTGATCTCGGGTTGTTCTTACGGATGAGTTCTTGAAGAAGGGCCTGGGCCTCACTCCACACACGTATAATTCTCAACAATACAGCTCTGATGTTAATGTTGGCCTCTATTTGCTACCGTAAAGCATCATTTCAGGCCTGTGCAGGATACTGTCAGAACAGCAACGTAATCTATCCCATGCCCTATCCCTGACAGAGTTGTTCAACTTCATTCGCAACATCCCATTCCTTCTTGTTTTCTTTCACACAGCATGTTGAGAAGAATGCTAATGAAACGTTTCTGAACCCGGGATCTTTAAAAGTCTGTTTGCCCCTTCATGACATCTTTTCATACTTTGAAAAAACTGCCATGAGAAAAATCAGTAATTACAGTTTAGTAATTTGAAAACAGAGCCCCAACTTGGATTTGATATTTACCGAAAGCCTCATGTTGCTGTTTACAAAAGGGACTTGTTTGGCTAAGTACATCAAACAGCTTTGCTCTATTAAATCATTTTCCAAGAAGATTAAACGGATTCAGTGCATTTGCATGAGAACCGACAACCTTATCTCGATGTTAAAGAGGCTTATTTCACTTAGCGGTCTGCAGTATTTGTGACAAAATGTTTATTGGGCCCAAGGCTGAAGTTTTAAGCCTACAGTTGTATCAGTTATTGATAAGTGATGTGAAAAGTTTTTTAAATAAGCAAATCAAGTTATATTTTATTAAAACAGCCTTTAAGCAAAGTGAATTCATCACTAAAGACAGACGCCACCACCTTTTCCAACAGACTCCATTACTTGAAAATGGAAATCTTCCCCTGTAAGCCTTTGCCAAAATCTTTCAGCTATTACTCACTCGACTCCGAAGATAGTCAGCAAGGTTTCGTCGTGTAAAGTTTGCAGCTGCAGTAGGAGACAATTCGTAACCTGGAGAAGAAATGTGTGTATTTGATAACAGTACAAATCCATATTCATGTTTCACTTCCTGACTTTCCATTCCTATTTTGAAATAACAAGATATTCTTTAATGATGACTTGTCATTTGCCTAATTCCAGTTTATTCTGACAGCTACAAGCACAAAAAGGGCCCTCAAAATCCAGGTAGCTCCTATCTGTACAGACCATTAAAATACATAGCTTCAAAAAATGGAAATACTATGGGCACATAGCTTTAATTTTTCAGTCTGGTGTATCAGGAAAACTGGTAACAGTTGTCATGCAATGGACATATTAAGAGAAATATTTTGCTAACAAGCCTATTATTGTGTCATTTATATTACAAATAGGTTAGCTGGGCTTTGGATAAACCTCTTGGTTTATGCTACATATTCCAACCTCCATTTCCCCATCCTGCCTTCACTACCACCTTTGCTTGACCCTAAAAATGCAGAAATCCTTAGAGCTAGAGAAGCTTTGAGAACAGCACTTCCCACCACCATTCAGCCGTAAACTCTACTGCTCATTAACTCTGCTTCCAAACCCACCGAGAGTAGCTGTTCCCCTTCACTCACCATTTCTCATTTTGTAGAGCTGAACGTTTTTCTGGATGTATTCTGCAAACTGTACAGTGTCTCCAGCCTCCCCAACACACAGGAGTAAGATCTTTTCACTCATCTTAAACATTTTGTCATGGTCTAGGCAAAGAAAAATAACATTAAGAGCCACGGTCATGAGAAAGATTTGTTTTGCCAATGTCATCACACATCATGATTCCTTTCAAAAGCAAGGAAGTAAGAGACTGGGATAACTACATTATGTCTTGGAACACCACCAAAAAAGTCTTCCTGAGCAAACCCCAACATTCAGCTTCTCACAGTTGGTGGCACAGTACACAAGACTTGTTAAACACATCGCCAAGAGAAACAAAGCTGAAATGCACAGAGTGCTTCCTTCAGGAAGGGAGGCATTTCAGCAATGCATGGTCTTTCTCACACAGAACTGGGAGACCAAAACTTCACACAGACTATTGCGTTCAGACAAAGTCTAACACTATACATGGCGCTTCCTGCGTTCAGGAATCAGAATTTTGCTCAGTGACTGTTCTACTTTATCTAAATACACTGCATCAGAAGCAAATCCTTTAGTACAAAGCTGAAGTATCAACACATCAAACAAAAGCAATTGCAGGAAATCCAGAACCAAATTCCATGTCAAATGATCCCCTCTTCCTGATATCCAGGAGAGTCTCAAAAATTAGCAACATAGCTGAGTGAGACCTTTTCAGAAACAGGTTTTTGCCTGTCATTGTTTTTTTAACAAAATAAACATTTCAGTATAGATTATAAATTATAATATGTCCCACTGATATACATGGAGATCAAGGAACAGCGAGCTACACTTTTGCTCATAATCGCAGTTTTAAAAACTTGTCCATGGGTATTTGAGGGGATCCAAGTTGTGATAAGAACACTGAAGATGATTCTGTGCTCACTCTAACACTGCAGCCTCATCTAATTCGAGACTGGCGCTCAGATACCCCACAGAGAAAGACTCAAGTAGCTGTTGGTGTGAAGGGAAGACCGTTTCTCTGTACTGGAGGCAGGCCTACGGAACAACACCAAGCCTCCGCCTCCAAACTTCACCTTCAGTTTACTAAATGCTGCTGAATAATCTCCACTGCAAGACAGGTATGAGGTGTCACAAGCCTCCAAGAGTAATTAAAAGTACCCAGCTGCACAGAGCTGCAGGTCTTGAGCGTTCAGGAAAGGCCGCTGACACGCACCAGTCCTCGCAATCTATCTACAAATTAAAGCAAGTATTAGCACATGCCAATATTCTAAACAAATACATTAAATTTGTGGGGTTTTCTCCCCCCAAAAACAAGTAAATCCTATGTTCTAAGTGCATTTTCCCTAAAGTTTGTGAATAAATCTACCTGGAACCAACACTAACTTACAAAACATTCTCTAAAGTGATTGTATTTGTACGTGCCACCACCTTTCATGGCCATCTTTCTAACACCTGACTTTTACAGACCCAAAGTGAAATATTTTAGGTGAAAGCACTGATAGCTATAGCATTTGTGATTTTATGGGATGTCTATCAATACTACAAGGTACAACTTTTTTTAAAAAGAGCTTCTAAACGACAGTATTTAGATTAGAAAGATCACTACACCTAGTAAACAAGCTTCTAGTCTGCACCTCGTAAGCAAGCTTCAGTCTAGATTTATTGCAACAGGAGACACAAAAGATGATTTCGGAGAATTTCAGAGGCTTGATAATCCCCCAGATGCTTTATCACATAAAGAAACCAAAAACCTATTACAGTTTGGCTCGTATGCTACAAATTTCGCTTATGCGTTTACTTCCAACACTTCCTTTTTATCACGAGTTACATTCTGCCGGTGAATTAGACACAACCCAGCGCTTCATCTCGCCCACCGCTATCCCTGCGCGGTTCCATCACGTATCCATATTGCGGCGCAGAGCAAGGTTTGGGTTAACGAGTCAACTGCACCGCTAAGTTAACGTGACAGCCCAACACAGCGCAGTCACAGCGGCTCAGGCTTGGAAACTTTACTCTGAGCGACCGGCCCTTGGCGACCTAGGCTGGCTCCGAGTGACAGGGACCGGCCAGCAGCCCCTACACGGAGTAAACCCTGAAGTGAAGCGCTCGGCAGCCTCCACCTTCGCCCAGGCCTACTGTAAGAGCCCTTCCTCAGCCGCAGGCCAAGCCGGGGGCGC